TGGAGCGTCCCGCAGCCAGGAGAGCTGGGCTGGCAGGCTGTCTTCCTCGGGCCCCTTGCCTTGGTCTCCATGCTGAGCATCCCCAGCAGTGGGGTCAGGGAAGTGTAGAGGTTGTCTTGTGGCCTCCGTGCCTGTGGGTTGAAGGAGGGGGGTCCAAGAGGAGGGGGTTGCTCCCTGTGACCTTGAAGGAAAGGTTACCAGGGACCTTGGAGGGGAGTTGCTCCCTGTGACCTTGGAGGAGAGGTTGTTACCAGTGACCTTGGAGGAGAGGTTGTTACCAGTGACCTTGGAGGAGGGGGTTGCTCCCCGTGACCTTGGAGGAAGGGGTTGCTCTCTGTGACCTTGGAGGAGAGATTGTTACCAGTGACCTTGGAGGGGGTTGCTCCCTGTGACCTTGGAGGGGTTGCTCCCTGTGACCTTGGAGGAGGGGTTGCTCCCTGTGACCTTGGAGGAAGGGTGCTCACTAACGCCTACTTCCTTGAAAAGCTTCCTTGAAAAGTGACATTTAAAAGCTTGTGATTGGGGTGGGGGGGAACACACTGATTTGTCCCGATGGCTACCGAAGAGGGGACCAGGAGGGCAGGGCCTGGCTTGCTCCGGTCCCTGGAAGTCTGAGGAGCCAGCTGCTGTCCTCTGACCATCTGGAGACTCAGAAGCACCAGGCAGCTTCTTGTACCCCAGGCCTGCTCTTCATGCTAGTGTAGATTTAAGACGTCTCCATGTGTAAATGGAGGCAGGGCACATAGTAGGTACGTTTTCTGGTCAAGGAGTCTCTTGTGAGAGACTCTCTGTCCCTTTGTTTTGGTGGGAGGGCCCTGGGGATTGAACCCAGGGGCACTTGACCACTGAGCCACATCCCCAGCCCTTTTTGTGTTTTATTTAGAGACAGAGTCTCACTGAGTTGCTTAGGGCCTCCCTAAGTTACTGAGGCTGGCTTTGAACTTGAGATCCTCCTGCCTCAGCCTCCTGAACTTCTGAGATCACAAGCGTGTGCCATTGCCTCATTTTTAAATATAGAAATTATATGCTATGTTTAGAATATAGAAATTAGAAACATAGGGATTAAATACAGAAGTTACATTCAATTAGTTATCCATTAAATAAATTAGCATTTAATACCTAAGGTATAAAATTAATAGTGGAGAAATAGCTGGTTACTAGAACTATGAAAAAGTCGTTGTTGGGAGTCCTCATTCCATAAAGTCACCTAATGGTAAGTATTTTATTTAATGTTGGAGGGGAAGAATGTAAATGGAGTTGGCCCTCCCTGGCTGACTCTGCATCGTGGATTCAGCCAACTGCAGATCGGAGTCGTGGGGAAAGTCGTGTGCACACAAACGCATGAGGCTTCCTGGTCCCTGGTCCCTGGGCAGTGCAGCCAGCAGACACGCCTGGCGTCCTCTGTGGGCACTCACGGCCTCTGCGGCGACTCGGCAAGGGGAGGCTGTCAGTACCGGGCCGCTTTACGGGGCCGCCTGGAGCCCATTCCCGGGGCCGAGACAGCCCACGGCCCACTGGGCAGATGAAGACTGGTAGATGGCAGACCACCTTCCATTCTGCAGACAAGTGGGAAATAGAGTCCCCTGAAACAAACTTGAAAGTCTACAAACAAGCTGCGGCAGGGAGAAACCAGGTGCCCGGAACCAGGAGGGGACTCCCAGGCGAGAGGAGCAGGGGACCAGAGACAGGTGGGCTGCGGGGCGCCGGCCGGGTGGCCAGGGACCTGCACTCACAGGCTGGGGCTTGCCCGGGTGGGAGGTGGAGAGCGGGGGACAGCCACGAGAGCAGAGCTGTGAGCTGCCACACACTGCACCACCCCTGGAGCAGCAGGACCAGGCCACACACAGCCGGAGGGAGTCCCGCCCACCAGCGCAGGGACACTGGCCCCTTGCGGACCCTGAGGCCCCATGGAAAGCCGCCTGCTGAGGAGCGTACAGTCAAATCGGTGCCTTCAGAGAGAGCGAGCAGGACGGGCACCGGTGTAACAGGCAGAGGAAGGGACAGGCAGGTGTGAAGAAGGAATCGACGGAGACTCTAGCAGTGAGAGACCCAGCTGCGACCTGCAGCTGAGAGGGAGCACAGTGGCACTCTGCAGGTGGCCTTGGGACTATCCCTGGAGCCCACAGTTACTGACACTTGCCTCGTGAACACTCCTGCGCAGAGGACCACAGGTTAGACCTCAGGGGAACCGGGATGTGGTTTTCCTCAGGGAGGGCCCTGGGGACCCTGCACTGCCTGCTCAGCGACATGGGACATGCTGGGACCCCGTGGGCTCAGCCTGCATTTCAGCTCTGCTTTCCCGGCACGACCCTCGCTCTCTGAGCCACACATAAAATGTCTCACACCCTCTTGTCCCCGTGTCTCCTCATCCCATCGACCCTACAGTCACCCAGCGCTCAGCCTCTGACAAGGTCCAGGATGCCACTGGTGGCCCACTTTGACCTCGGTCTCAGGGCCTGCGGCTCTGACAGTAACGTCCTTCCACAGTCTTGATTTCAGAGAAAACGCTGTCAGCTGCGCCTGTCTTTTCCTCTAAGACGTGGAGGTGTTGGGGATGGCCTGGTCATCCCAAACAGCTGGCCTTTCCTCCCAGCAGACTCCCAGCCTGTGCCCCTTGCCACACGGCCCTAGCACTCACTCCCGCGGGCTGAGAGCCCGGGTCGTGACGGTCACCGGTCTGTGCTGCAGTGCTGTGGGGTCATGTCCCGCCACGCTGGGTCCTGAGCCCCTTCAGGGCAGCCGCTGATACACAAAAGGAAAGAACACTTGAAAGGACCAGTCATCCAAGGCCCGGGAACCTCACACACACGAATGTGGCCTTGCCCCTCTGCTGTGTGTGTGAACCCAGCGGCCCTGACAGTCCTGGCGAGTCGGCTTCAAGTGAGCAGCCATAGAGCTGGCTGACTTAGGAGCTGAGGGGACAGAGGTGAGCGAGCTGACCCAGGGTGGTGAGTCAGGACGAAGAGGTGTTCCACCTTTAAAATGTTGATATCCTTTATTATGAGGAGGAGAGCGGGAATAAGGGTGTCAGGGTCAGACAACCACGTGGAGGAGCGTGTGTGCTTCCCTGCCCTCACGGGGAGGTCAGGTCATTTATCAAAGCTGCCGAGGAGTGAGCTGGGCAGGCCCTCCCACGCACACCTCTTGCTGGGGTCTCAGGCCCATCTCGGGTAGGTTAGTTGTCTCCTAAGGTACCCTTCGCCCTCTGGGTGCCTTCTGATCTGTTTGAAATAAGGCTCGACTTTTAATTCCTGTTTTCGTATTCCAGTAGCCCAAAAATAAGTCTGTTGAAGGTCAAATGGTTTTCCAGGGTTGAAGTTTCCAAAGCAGCTGGACCTCGCCCCTGCATCAGGACGTCTTTGTGTCCTGGAGACCCTCCCACATTTCTTCTGTGATTGGCCACTCAGGACTGTTTCATTTTTAGTAAAAGAGCATTTTGCCCTTCTGAAATATTTAAAAGCAGCATAAAACGTTCACTTTATTTATTTGAAATGTAGAGATGGTTGTGGAGCACATTCACATAAACTGTCTCCGCCACTTAGTTCATCCAGACTGCAGCGGGGACCAGGGTCCCGCTGGGTTTGGCCCAAGAAGCCGGCAGCATCAGGTCGACCAGAAATAGGCAGGCTGCCGGGGCACAGGGCTTGCTCCGGGCACAGGCTTGCTCCGGGGCTGAGGTTCTGCACAGGTCTGCGACCCTGTCCTTTCCACACATTCACTCGGGGGGATTCTTGGTGGTGATCTCAGCCAAGGAAAACACGTGTCTCTTTCTGTGCTTACACCACCAGGTCGTCGGTGTGGCCCAGGCCATCAACAAGAAATCGGCTAGTGGCGGGACCTTCACGGAGAAGGACGAGAAGGTACTGTGGCCGTGCTGCCGCCAGAGGCCCGGTACTGCATGCCGACCCAGAGCAACCACTGGGGGTCCTTGATGGCGCTTTGCAGCACCCTGAGTGTTGAAAGGCATCTTTGCCCTGTGCAGTGTGCAGTGTGGGTGCTACCTGGGAGCGTGGAGCTGCTCAGTCTGGAATTGCAGCTGCCCCCTGCCCTCGGCTGTGCACGTGGGCCCTGATGGCCTGGCTCACGGTGTCCTCGTGGCCTGGCTCGCCTTTGCTGTCTGCTGCAGAGGCTTGTCCTGAGTGAAAGTCCAGGGCCACCCAGGCTCAGCCTCCAGGTTGGCACAAGTGGGAGCTGCTCTCTGGTGCACCATTGCGTTACAGGCTTTGCCCACAGACTGCTGGTGCCCGGGTGCAGATCCAGGGTGCGTGGAACAGGCTAGCTGCTACTTCATGCCCGTCTCTTATGACTCTGAAGGCCCCGTTCCCCAGGCCATAGTGGCATCTGTCCCCTCCAGCACGTCCTTGAACCCATTCTTAACTTCATCCTGCGGGAGGCGTGCCGTTCCTCCTGGTGAATACCTACCTCTGTACCGTCCATCGCCAGCGCCCCCTCCCCCAGGACCATTGTATTTACATTGCTCCTCTGAAAATTCATAGGAGCTTGACAGACATTCAGACAAGACAGGAGATACTTTGACCCAGGCTTAGGCTGTGTGGCACCTGTTTGTCCTTATGCTTTAGCACAGCAAGTACCTTTGAATACCTATCTAGCCTCCTGTGCTGCCAGGGACAACTGCGGATATTTGGTGGGAAAGCATGGTTCTGGGTTGGCTCTTTATTCCATTATTGTGTTTATAGCCCTTTAAGGTGAAGCCCTCTTGAATGAATTTGCAGTTTTAGGCTCTATCACATCTTGGCAAAATCTATTCATGGTTGTGGGATAAAGCATGCGATCTCAAGATGTGCTTGGACTGATAATTAACGTGACTGTAGCACATAACCCCAGGAGGGGGTGTTCAGGGTGCTGTGAGGGTCCGTGTTTAAAGAGCACATTGGAAGTGTTACTTGCACCTTGATGCACTGTGTGGCTGCATCGCTGCTGCTGTCCTTGTCCTGATGGCAGATGTGCCTGTGCTGGCGGCAGTAGCCCTTGGCAGGCTCCATGTAGTCTCAGCCGAGGCCTGAGTCTCAGCATCGTGTGGAGGCCACTGCAGATTCTGCACAGAGCAGATGGCGGTCTCATGTGAAGAAGCCCCCTCCCAGCCCCTCTCCCCTTCCTCTTGCCGGCCCAGACCTACCGTGCCCAGGAGACTGAGAACACACTGGCCCACTTGGTTGGCATCAGTGCCACCTGCACCTGGGCTCGTGGCTCTCGCTCCACCGTGGACCTGGGGGCCAGTGGTCTGGGCACTGCCCCTTGACGGTTCGGCTGCTGTTCTGCAGGACTTTGCTGCCTACCTGGCGTTCTGCGGCATCGTGCTTCACAATGCCCAGCTCTACGAGACTTCGCTCCTGGAGAACAGGAGGAACCAGGTGAGTGCTGCGGGAGTCGGTGTCCCCGCGGGAGAGTCCTGGCTTGGCTCAGGTGCAGGGCACTAGGTCAGACGTTCAGAGGCACTTGGGTTCTGGAAGCTGTTACCCATTCCTGTCTCCCTGCTCGGTCGCCCCACCTCTGTGGAAGTCTGCTGACCTGAGAGCGCAGGCTCACGTGGCCCTCACCCTGCCCATCGCATGTGGGTGTCCAGCTGCTGCCCAGGCGCTGTTGAGTAATGCGTTAGTTCCTGCCGTCCCTGGGTTCTGGGCGCCGTGAGACCTGCACCCAGCACCCGCCGTCCCCCCAGCCTCCTCCCCCACCCCACTCCTCTGCCTGCTTCTTCTGGACTGTCTTCATTATCACCACATTGACAACTCGCGTATTGTCCTGCAACCACGAGGCACATGTCCCACGGAACCTGCTCTGGCCCTCTGGTTAGTGCCCTGGTTTCTAGATCCCTGATTGTATTGTTCCAGCACATTCCCAATTAAGTGCTTAAGAGATGGTACGAGTGAGGTGAGCGTTCTGAGACTCGCAGGTGAGGGACACCCACAGTGCCCGCTGCCTCTGTGGGTGTGAGTGGACACCGGAGAGCATGGGGCCCTCCCTGTGCCTGCTCTTGCCTGCCGTGGACGTTCCGTGCCCTCTCTGCCGTCTGAACATGACGGGCATGTTTCCTTCCTGCTGGTCTGCGTTCCCCTCTTCGGGCTCTCCCCTCCACACACATTCCATGTGCTGCTGTGGACTCGGCTCCTGTCGCCTGACCCTGAACCCTTAGGCCTCAGCCAGGGCGGGTCTTCTCCAGCAAACTGGCTTCAGAGAAGACAGTCCCAGGAAGGCACAGGGGCTCTTACGCTGGCTTCGTGCAGAGTCGAGCTCTCTGAAGACTGGCGTGTGGTGAAGGTTGATCTGGGTGTGGCGGGCAGTGATCCCTGTGTGCCGCCTGCCGGACGCTCTTCAGAACACCTTGTAGTGCTCAGCCCCACAGCAGCGCCCGCTCACTGCTGCGAGCACCCTGTGGGTAGGAAGCTTGTCCCTGTCACGCTAGTGGAGGGGTCATCAGGATAGCCAGACGCTGCCCACCTGCAGCCTAGCCTCTGTGTGGCCATCCTGATGGTCATCAGGGCGTGTGGCCAGCAGGCAGAACAGGCCTGCTGCTCCAGCACTGGGGCGGTCAGCCGGACAGCGGCAGTGAGGACGTGGGCAGCCCCTGCAGGCGGCACTTCCCTCCATCTAGGTGCTCCTGGACCTGGCCAGCCTGATTTTTGAGGAGCAGCAGTCACTAGAGGTGATTCTGAAGAAGATAGCGGCCACCATCATCTCCTTCATGCAGGTCCAAAGCTGCACCATCTTCATAGTGGACGAAGACTGCCCCGTGAGTACAGCCACGGCCCTGGGAGCGTGTGCACAGGGCCCCATCACTGGCCCAGCCACACAGCTGTCCCTGTGGCACTAGGTGCCTGTCTAGCTGAGGGGTGGGTGGGGTGTAGGGCTTCTCCAAGACCCCCGACCCCACCACTACTCAACCATGGCGACAGCTACCCTGTGGCCTGGCACGGTTACCATGGCAACGGCCACACTGGGTCCATTCCATAGGTGCCGTGATGATGACCACGCTGTGTCCACTGCATAGGCACAATGATGATGGCCACACTGTGTCCACTGCGTAGGCACCATGGCCACGGCCACACTGTGTCACTGTGTAGGTACCATGATGATGGCCACACGGTG